GAACAACAACAACAAAGCCTTCTCCTTCCCTTGCTAAAGTTAGAAATATACCCTGGGAGATACCTGGCTACACTGTACCATGGCTCCTACAAGTGGTCTTGCCTTGGAAAAAGACAAGACAAAACAGATCAACTGAGTTAAAAAACCAAGAACATTCAGGAGGTTGTTTGGCATATCAGAAGTTGCATCAATGATAATAAATTTTCAACCATATTTCCCCTTCTTAAGTCATTTCAGCATCAAAGGTCTGCAGATTATGACAGTAAGGAGTTATAAGAACCTGACACCAACTCAAAAGTATCCATATTCTGACCCCCCCCCCCCATTCTACCTTCTCTCTTTTACTTCTGAATTCTTTCCCTTAATCTGGACAGCAGGCAAGCTGCTCTTGGCCAAAGACATTGTTTGTATTTTACAGAATTGTATGAATCTGGTTCTTCCAACACTGCTTCATTTCTCCTTCTTTAGTGTGATTAATCCCATGCCTTTCCTTTTTTTTTTTAATATTTTTCACCACTCAAAGCTCAGCTAATTTTTTCTCAAATCTTGTCCCCATAATCCTCTTTGACATCCTGTCTCTTCCAACTCATTCTTGCCTTGTTCTATCTGAATGATCTCTCCCTGTTGCTGCTTGCTCCCTCTTCCTCTCTTCATTTGTGAGCAAAAATATAACTTGCAATTAAGCATGACCGAGAGCAGAAGAGTAGTATAGGTGGCACACAGTTTCATAAAAAGGGAAGTTTTGAAGAGAAAGGCTTGACAAAATAAAATACTCATGCCATTAGCCTCAAAAGTCTTGAAGCAACACCCAGAAGTCCTCTTCAGAATATCAAAAATTCCTATTTTCAAGGCTTCATCTAGTTAGAGCAGTTTTTTAAGCATCAGCTTTTGTTAATATTTTTAAAATTAATAAAATATATACGTAAAGTTCTTGTTAAAAGTTTCCTGCTTTACTTCTAATATTGTTTTCTATTAATTTTATCTTGAAAGAAGAATTCATAAACTTTATAGGCCAGTCTGTAAGCCAAAGCATGATTTATAATATTGATTTCTGGGAAAGTACATTCCGAGTTCTTTACTTACATATGAACATTTTGAATACAACTGATACTATAATGTGTGTGGGTGTATGTGTATGTGTCTATCTACATATAGAGCTACATACATCATACCTGACATCTCCTGCTAGAATGGGCATGAAACTATATACAGCACTAAGCACAGTGGTCAGCTGGTTGACTTAACTAATCAATGTTAGATATTTCACATTCCAGAGTAGATTTTTTTTTTTGCTTAATTATCCAATTTGCCTGTTTACACAGTTAACATTAGCCAGATAACTGCTAAATCTCTACTTCTCTACTTGGGAATAGCAAGGTAATGAGATTGATGTTACCATGCTACAAGGTTAAAATGAATATGATTACACATATTGTATGAAATATGAAGTACCAAAATGAACTAATAATAATATTATGACCTAGCCTCAATCCAAAAATATATAGCGTGATTGTGATATAACATGCATATGCATGTGTGTATATACACACATGATATAAACATAAATGAAGGACATTTAATTTCATCAGCATAGAAGAGTCCCAGTTAAGAAATTTCCTCTAGCAATGGAAATCATAACTTATCTATAACATGGTAGATAAGTTTCATGAGATACCTTGAAACTTAATAACTAGTTAATTCACTAAGCCAGTGAATATCAAAGGCAAGATTTTAATCTAGTTCATTCTAACTCCATATCAAACATTACAATATTCTATCCATTATGATGTGTCTCTGTGTTTGTCCCACTCTCCCCTGAAGACATCTGTTCTTGGAAAAAGCAAAATTTCACTTACGGACACAAGAATAAGTGATTTTATCAATCAAAACACATAATGGCTATGAAGCATGCTAATTAAACAAATTTATTTAATTTTAAACTTTAAGGATAAATTTTTATCAAGAAAAATATTCAAAATATACTTTTTTGAACTATACCTGATAGAATTACAATATTAAATTTGAAGATAGTAATTTTCTAAATTTAGCCATTTTTATTATTCCTTTTTGAAAGGTAAGTAAACACTGAATTTTAGTCATCTTAGATTCCTGTCAGACCCCTTTATGTTTGGATCTACTACAGAAGGAAGGTGTCAAAAGAAATGAAACTCTATGGAGTGTCTAGGGAATGTAAATATTTCTCTTTTCTCTGCCCCAAGGATTTGTTTGCCCACATTTTGACAGTCCGTGAAATCTTTGACACTGAGACCTGTCAAATATTAACAACTTTGCACTCTGCCAAACTGACTCATCATTTAGACTTTTATCTTAAAAAAAAAGAACTTCCATGTCAATCACTCAATCCAATTTACCAAAAAAACTGAAGTAACTTAAAATGCCCCTTTTTCAGTTTGTTTTGTTTCTGAGGTTTGATAACAATCTATATGGCTTTTTGAAAATGCCAACAAGATTATGCTAACAAAATAAAAATATTAAGTTTTGGAAAGGGTGTTATTTTTGTTGACTAAATATGATTATTGAATCAGGAAACTATTTAAATTTCACTCTAGTACGTGCTCTTCTTGTCTTATGCCTAATACTACAGCATTAGTCCTGTACAATTGCCAGCATGCAATCTCTCACAGTCACAGATGCTAAAGAATTATTTTATTATTATTAGTTCATTGTTTTGCTTAGGAACTTCCAGGGACTCTCTATGGCCTCTCCCATCAACCTTGAACTCTTCTGTCTGACTTTTAAAAGGCCATTTACCAATCTTTCTTCTCATCTCTATCTCCTGCCTTCCCTATCTTCCTTCAAGTTCCAGCTAAAGTTCTAGCCTCTACAGGAAGCCTTTTGTAATCCCTCTTAATTCTAGTGCTTTCCTTTTATTATTTCCAATTAATCTGGTATATATCACATTTATATATAGTTGTTTTCATGTTGTCTCTTTCATTAGATTGTGCAGCAGGGATTGTCAGTTGCTTTTCTTTGTATCAGTAGTGCTTAGCACAGTACCTGGAATATCATATACACTTAATAAACGTTTCTTTTACTGACTGGAATCTCATCTACTTGGTTTCTTTTTCATTTTTTCACCCTTCCCTCTAATAAATATTCTTTACTAAAATCAGAAGCCATGAAATTCTGGTTTGGTGACCCTCTCACAAAGGATCTGCCTGTTTTCAACAATGGAACCTTTAAGTATACTCCCTTGGAATAATATCCCCCATCTAATTCATTATTTAATTTCCCTTTTTTAAAATTTTTTAAAAGAAAGAAAAAATCTGCCACAAAATGCAAATAAATGAAGACTTCCCTGATTGACTTAACTTCATTCAACACTTTCCCCTAACAAACTATATACAGTACAGTTGTAATATATTCCTCTATGAGGTAGCCAGGGGGTAGCATATAGAGAGCTGGCCTCAGAGTCAGGTAGACCTAGGTTAAAATTCTGCCCATGACACATACTGACAAATGACCCTGGGCAAGTCACTTAATCTTTATGTGCCCCCAGGCAATGCTCTAAGAGCTTAGACTGCAGAAGCAGTAGAGGAAGTTTCTTCATTGGGATTCCCCTATACCAAACTGTAGGAACAATTTCTATTCATCCATACTAATATGCTGCCTTGTAAGTCTTCAGTCTAATGGTTTCTTCTTTCAAGAGACTTTAAAATATTTTCTACTTATTTTGCTTTTAGCAGCTTATATATAAGCCAGCATATGGTGAAAATTAAATAAATACACTGGTTTTCAGCTGAATACAAGTTACAAGTTCATCTAATAAAATTGAAAATAAGATTCCAAAAGTTCCTAGGGTAACTATGATTTAATTCCACAATGTCAATGTTGTGATGTTGATCAGTGTTGATTATAAAATATTGGCTTCATTGATAAAAAATAAAAATCTAATTAATCAGTAATTAAGAAAGGAATAAGTAATTGTTTCATTAGCTATGTTTCAAATTTTACAAAATTTTCTGATAAAGATGTGGATATGAAGTTCCTTTTATTTTAAAAAGGATATGGAGTGTAGCATCTATCTGGATAGATCTATCTAGGCATCTAGATAGATGGATATCTTCTTCCTACACAAATGTGGGACGTTTTTTGATAACTGGAAATAATAAACTGTAAACTTTATCAGCTATTAAAAATTGCCTACCATGTTTGTATTCTTCATTCTAAAGGAGATCATATTTCACAAGACTTGTCCTTCACATTCTAAACTGAGTAGATTTGAGATAATTATCCTGATTCTCCTATTTCAGCTATGCAGGTAGAACAATCTCTGCCAATAAAGTTGAAATCCTTCCCTTAATACATTCCTGTAAGATAGGCTTTTAGGGTGCATGATTGAGCTGCATTTTCTCAATCTCTATAAACCAGAAGATTGATTATTTTGCAGTTTTATGTCACCAAGATCCTACTCTATTGAGAAATAATCAAGAATTTGCTATGTGTTTTTTCTGTTCAGTATTGTGTTCATTAAAGATGAGGATGAAGAAAATGTGAATACTATTGTTACTTAAAGCCCACCTAAGATAATACATAGAACAAAATTTTTTTTCTATAGAGGCCTGTGATTTCATTAATATAGTAAACTCCCTGTATGAAAATCGCTTCCTCCAAAAAGAATTGAAATTTAGGATATAAAATCAGATTTAGAATTGGGAAAGCATTGGAAAACAATGATTTGGTCTTGATTGTTTTAGTGAATTATCTAGGTCATCGAGAAATTGAATGAACGGACTATAATCGCACATGACATCCAAAGGTAAATAAGACCAAAAAAAATCCCACTACTAAAAGAAAATTAAAAATTTTAGGAAATGATTTACATATATTATTATAGTAAAAAGAAAACTAGGTTACTGTGTCATTTTTCCATTTGTGTTAATCTTAGTTTTATAATTTACGTATTTCTAAAGCCATACAATTCACCATAAGCATAAATGAATGTGGGCACATTACTTTTGTGCCTGGGTAAAACTTACATCTTGATTTGACATATCCCAATAAGGCCGCTCTCCATAAGACATTACTTCCCACATAACTATTCCATAACTCCATACATCACTGGCAGATGTAAATTTCCGGTACTGGATGGCTTCTGGGGCTGTCCACCGTACTGGAATTTTCCCACCCTATTTTAAAAAGAGATTAGCAATTAATTACATATGATTACGTATATGACATATCCATTGTACTCAGGTCCATAAATCAATGTCAATAAATAAACATTTATTAAGAGCCTACTATGTGCCAGGTACTTTGCTAAGTGCTGGAAATACAAAAAAGAGACAAAAGACAATTCTTGTCCTCAAGGGACTTACAATCTAAAAGATAGAGACAACAAGCAAATAGATGTGTACAAACAAGGTATATATAAGATAAACAGGAAACAATTTTAAAAATGAAGGCATTAGAATTAAAAGAGGTTGGGAAAGGCTTTCTATGCAAGGTATTTTGGTTAGAACTTAGAGGAAGCCAGGAAGAGCATTCCATTTATAGGAGACAGCCAAAGAAAATGCCTAGAGCCAAGGGGCGGATTTTTTGTTCCTGAAACACAAGGAAGTTGTTTTTTGAAGACTTTGTGATGAGATGTAATAAGACTGGAAAGGCAGATGGGACAGGTTATGAATGGCTTTGAATCTTGGAGGCTGTTGGAGGCCACTGGTGTTTCCTGAGGGTGCTTGCTATTTATCTTTCGTTCTCGAAGAGGACAAGGTTGGATCTGTGCTTTTGGAAAATCACTTTGCTGAATGGAGGAAAGATTGTAGTGGCAAGAGCCATAATACAACTGAAGCTACAATACTACTTGTTATAATGTGGAATAAAATATAAAGTGGAATATTTTGTGTCCCATGGGATAAATTACGGATTATAATATATACCTTCTTGGTAGGAGTGTTTTAAAGGTCAAATTAGATAATGGATATGAGGATTCTCTGAAAATGGTTATATTCATTTCAGTATTGTTGAGGAAATTTAAAGTCACATTCAGTTAAAGAGGCAGCATGCTGTGTTGGGAAGAGAGCTGGATTTGGAGCCAGTAATACCGAAGTTCAAATCCCACCTATAACACAAACTGATTGTGTGACCCTGGACAAGTCATTTAACCTCAAAGTGATCTAGGCAAATTTCTTAAGTTATCAAGAAGATGCCTACCTGCATTGGTAGAGGGATTTTTCTTCATCCAGGACTCCCTACACCAATAAAATGAAATCAGAGCTCCAGCACCTATCCCTATCTTTCTATTACAATAAAGGATTTTTTAAGTGGAGCCTCACACACTTACACTGGCAATAGTCACATACATGATAAAAAGCAGAAAAGAGAACACTATCCATAAATCATCACTAATAACCTTAACAACCATCATTTAAGATAGAATGCCTTCTTACTTATTACAACTGAAAAAGTGTCCATTCTGGATTGATTTGTGAACATGCATATGGTATTTGTATAGATATCCCTATAAAACATGATGAACACATTTCTGAGTCCAAAATCATTTGGCCCGTTTGATACCAAGTATATGGATTGTTAGATAATCAATTATTTCTCCAAAACAAGGGAGGCTCCATTTTTTTTAAAAGCATGTAGTTGGTCTTTCATTTCTAGGGTTCTATGAAGATTATTATTGCTGCATTATAATTTTTAAAATCATTCCTATTAATGGGGAAATATGGAGTACAGATGTAGAATATGAAGGAAGGAGAACAGGAATACATTTTTTTTAAAAAACATATCTTACAGTAGTTGTATAGACAGCTTCTGGATCATCTTCTATAACTCGGGACAGGCCAAAGTCTGACACTTTGCAAACAAGATTACTGTTGACAAGAATGTTGCGAGCTGCAAGGTCCCGGTGAACATAACCCATATCGGCCAAATATCTCATTCCAGCAGCAATCCCTCTCAGCATTCCTACAAGCTGAATGACTGTAAATTGCCCATCATGTTTCTGCAGGAAAGACAACAGTTGAAATCCAGTTAACTTGACTTTGACGGGGAAAATGTCATCATGGGATATTTTCTATATACTAACTCATCTTTCCTAGTGAGAGAGGAGCAATTAATTATTTATTGAATTCCCATACCATATTAGACACTTGTAAAAGGATAAACTTAGAGCTTATCAGATATATAGACTGTATCCAGATAGCACAGAACATAATGGGAATTTAGCAATCATCTGGTCACTGTCATAAACATCAATAGCCAAGGCAGATAATTAAAGCTGAAAAAGCCCACCATGAGGATGGGCACAGCCAAACATAAAAGCTGTTAGAAAAAGGCTGTTTTGGAGAATTAGGCACAAATGTTCCAAAACAGTATAAAGAGATGCACAAAGACAAATGTTATCTTATGTTTCCCATCCCTGCCCCAAAATTGTTGGGTTAAGGTAGTAGTTTTTTTTTTTTTCCAAACACACATATTCATTATTTTTTTAATTGACAATTCTTTATAACTGTGTAAGTCCTTAAGGGCAATTCACTGAAAGGGCAAAAAGTGAAGTTCTGGTTGGCTTTTAATCCAGCCTTAAATGTATAAACATGGGAGTGGGAGGTAATGGCAATGACTGGGTTGGATTATTTCTTGTCATCTATAAGACCGGCTGTCTAAAGATCTGTGGCAAAAATGAGTTTAGGGGAATTAGGATCTGGAACAGTCTTGTGTTCTATAGCCTGTAGGCCTGGTATGTATTCTCAATCCAGAAATATTTATAGTCCTATGATTTCTTTTTTTTAGGGCTTGAGTTGTAGAGTGACTGAAGATGAAGGACCACCTCTGGGCTGTACTAACTACCTAATCCTAAATAAAAGGAAAAAAACCACCTAAAATAGTGCAGAAGTTTAGTAGAAGAAAAAGAGCCCTGAAACTATTGTCATATATCCGAGTTTGAGTGCCAGTTCTGCCACTTACTAAATATGTGAAATGAGGCAAATCACTTAACTTGCCTGGGCTTTCGGTGTTAACATCTGCAGAGTCAGGATAATGATACTTACAGTCCATACCTCACACGAGTACTGGGTCAGCGACGTTATGAGAAAAGCAATTTAAAAATTGTAAACCCAGTACATAAATGTCAGCTATTGCTGTCATAATAATTTTACTCCTTGATCTCGTACAGGCAACTAGGGGGTACTGTGGATAGAGCCCTTGACCTGGAGTCAGATCTGCCCTCAGACACTTACTAGCCATGTGACATTTGTAAAGTCACTTAGCCTGCCCAATTTAGTTTCCCCATCTGTAAAATGGGTATAATAGTAACACCTGCCCCCCTAAGGTTGTTGTAAGGCTCAAATGGGATAATGTTTGAAAAGTTCTTTATAAACCCTAAAATGATATATACAGGCTGGCTATTATTACTATTTTTATTACCATGAAGGAAAATTCTGCCTGCCATTCTAGTATACGGTTGAAAGCTGACATTTATGCACGCATTGGGACTGAAGGCATGTAACTAACTGTGACTAAAGAGTCAGAAATTATTCAGAACTTATTTATGAAACAAACCACATCACATTAAATTATTTTAAATAATTTGTACAGCATTTTTACATTTTCTGTCTTGCCTTTGTTTGTTGTCAGAATAGCCAAAGACACCCCATAGTCATATTGTGGTTTCTACCAGAGATCACTGCATTGCTTTGTCATTTTTCTCATCTTCTTAGAATTTCCTCTGCGTTCTATTTCAGATATCTTTATTATGACTTCCACCGTTCTGAACAAATGAAATGCTACTTTCTAGCATGTGTTCATGTGTTCCTGCTACGGGGCTTCAGGTAATCTATTCTTAACTTCAGTATCTAGCAGTAATGAAAACCACTTTTGCTTTACCACATTGTACCACTTAAACGTTCAGAAAAGCTTTAGTTTAAGGCTGTCTCCTTCCCTGATGTTTAATCTGATTTTGTTCATATAAATTCCCGATCTGTTCATGTTTATAATGTTCACATTTCACACTGCAAAAAATAGTTTGTGACATTCAGTAAGTAGCATGCAGAGTCTATTCTGAAGTAGTGTGTATTTTAAGTTACTTACCCTAAGAAATGCATCGAGGGCTCCATTTTCCATGTATTCTATTACAATCATGACTGGTTTCCCTAAAAAGTAAGGGGGGAGAAAAAGGAACAGTATATTCTGAGCAACTGTACCCTATGTTGGAAGACCCATTGTGTGCATACGCATGTGTGTATAAAACACATGTTGCTCCTTTTAGGGTTGAATAGTTGAAATATGACTGTTTCTAATGCCTCCAGCACTGTTACTAAGCTCTAATAAGTCTTTAATTGTCTGCATGGAGCACGGTCATGATTCACAAAATTAAACCATACAAATCAAAATGTCAGTGTGTTCTCTTGACTCTTGCTGTGAGAACAGAACTCAGAGAAAGTGACACTTTAGATAATATGTATAGACCTAAGAAAGTACATAATTTTTTTGCATGACCTTTTTAGTAAAACGAAAGTAAAAACTGTATATGCATGTGTACAGATACATATTTATAGATGTATGAATGTATAATACAAAATATCTTCATTTCCTAATCATGCATGCCTCTTTCCTATTGTTTCCCCTCAGGATGTAGTATAAAATAGGTATTGTTTTAGTTAGACATCAAGAGAAAATCCATTAAAAGAATGCAAATATGTTCCTCATTTGGATTTCTGACCATGCATACACCAAAGCAATTTCTGTCATTCAGTCCATTAGTCAAGTAAAAGATGTAAGCAGTACTTACCCCTTGTGACAACCCCTTCTAAATGAACAACATTAGGGTGGTCAAACTGTCCCATGATGCTTGCTTCACATAAAAAATCTCGTCTTTGTTTTTCTGTATAACCAACTTTCAGGGTCTTTATGGCTACTGCAACATCTCTCTTCCCTGGGAGTTTCAAGCGACCACTGCAGACTTCTCCAAACTCTCCTGAGGTAAAACAGTAGGCAGACACATGTAAATCGCTACTCATTCCATGTCACATTCACTCTTGCAAAGTAAATGGAACAAACTTCTAAATCACACATTTCTATTTCTATTCAAAAGCTTTGCAAAGCTGTCTAGGTTACAATGGACATCATCCCTGCTGCTGGCTAATTTTATCCTCAAGTCTGAAAGTAATGCAAACACAATGAAGTCATTTGTGAAATGGAAGGTGTGAATTAAATCAAACATAAAGTGATTTAAAAAGAGGGACATTTTTGTCCACTCACACAACCTCACTAACCTAATCTATGTGATAGTTCCTTATCTGATATAAACAATGGGTTATTTAGCAAAATTTTGGGTTTTTTTTAAGGTTGAATTTTTAGACGGGGTGCTGGTTGTATAACCTCTTATGTAGAACATAAGAGGGAACTCTGACCATTGCCACTGTCACTACTCCTCCACTGCCCAAAGCTAAAAGCTACAGCTTTGTTAAAGATTTTAACAAGAAGTCTGTAAAATTCATGTGTGCAGCTTGTGCCAGAAATCAGTATCCTGGTTTCAAGGCATCTATTTTTTTCATGAAATAACATTTCTCTAAGAAAAATTAAAGGAATTTTTTTTCATTTAGAAGTAGCTAATAGACAATATTACTACACACCTTGAACAATAAACATTTCTGCTATAGTTTTGTGCACACATGAAACAAATTTCAAATGTGAACTCCTCAGAAGATGGTGGATGCTCAAAGAAGTAAATTAAATTTGTATCCCAGACAAACATAATTAGGGACTTTTTAGAGTTTTTAAAAATGTGCCACCAAACTTTTTCCTGAGCTACAAGTTGCAGCTACTTTTTCATCATCTATACAACTCCAATGTTTTTTAAGCCAACAGAAGAGCAAAAGTATATGAGCTCTTTGTGCCACATGGTTCACTTTCTCAAGATTTTTATAAGTGCAGGTTCATTGCTCCCAACAGCTTCGGTAAATGCAAAAGTTCTATATGTGAGGCATAATTATTTGCCTGTCATTATGATGCATGACTTTCGATCTTGGCTAAATGGAACAGCTGAATAAGGAAGCCACAACAGCCTTACCTGCGCCAATCACACGCTCAATTTTAATACAAGAGGCATCTAGCTCCTTGGCGAATTGATGGACAGCTCTATTTGGGTCCTCATAGGTTTCAGGGTCAATGTAGGTTTTGGTGCCTGGAAATTTAACTGTAATGATGTAAGAAAGCATGACTGTGATGAAGCAAAGCACTTATTGTGCAGTCAGCCCAGGAATTTCATTATGCAGAATGCTCCTTGGAACAGTGAGCTTGCAGCCACACCACCTGATTCAGAGCAGTTTTAACAGACTACTTCAGTATGCTGGAGCTATAGGCAAGCTTGGGATCCAGCTCAAACAGGGCTAAACTGCATTCTTTTCCTAGTGAATGAGAAAAAAAAAGATATCCACCAAAATATTCTGGCAAGCTTCTTATCTGATTTGGTGACTACTCAGATTTCCTGCTATCACAGCATACTTTGCCATATTGTGAACAAGACGTCTTCTCTGTGTCCCTGATGCCTTGAAATTGGCTCGGGCACATTTTGGTAATTCAAAAAAAAAAAAGTAGAGGCAAAATGCCTATAATATGAAAATGAAGAAATTTAACTCAAAGTCCATTTACTTCTTTGACAGCAATACTAAAATAATTTAGACATTTTCCTTTTGCTTTTTGGTTTATTTGTATATATAAAAAAGTTCAACCACTCTTGACATTTACATAAAATTAATACAAGATGCTAGTGGCTGTGATTACAGAATCAAAGAGGTATACACAAAAGACACACTTTGTACTCCAGTTTCAAGGGCAATTGAGGCCAGATCTACAGAGCACAAAGTGAAGTGGATGGCTGGGCAAATGACAAGAGAATTCAGGCTGTACTTCGGATCTGGTGACCGGGTATCAGGAATGGGGGAATTTTGGAGGGAGCAATACGGAATACAATTCCAGTGATTTTCTGTCACAGGGCTCTAGCAGATATTTACTATTACATGGAAGGAGGCTATTGTCCTCCTTAAAGTCAGCCATATTTTGAACCACATAGGGCTTTAGGGATAAAAATCATCTTTAAATCATACCCAGTACATGCAGGTAACAAATAACGATTGTGACAAGTTTAAATTGAATCCATTCATAATCATGTGTTCCCAATCTAAGTGTTTGATTAAAGACGTAGATAAAAATGATTGGCATACTGTTTGGTCAACTAAGGCAATGAAAAAAAAAAGTCAGAACTTAAACAGTAGTTCCATTATTTAAGGAAACAACTGAAAAATCTTTCAATTAAAGCTTAATGCTTTTAAAATAATATATTTCCATACATATCATACCACAACTTAAGTGTGTTTATGTTATCAAATGATATTAAGCATTTATTAAGTTCCTTGCATATAGTAGGTGCTTAATAAATGCTTATGGAATTGAATTGTTTGATTTTTTAAAAAAGATAAAAGCATAATGAAAAATGAAATAGAAACATATAAAGAAAAGTATGGAATAATTTTGAAACTCTAGGTTTGTCCTCATGGAGTTGATTGTTTATCCAAATTTGATTATTATAATTTTTTTTTTGCTGCAGTTTATAAAACTGACAGATGTTCATTTGTCACTAAAGCTGAACGACAAAAATAAAAGAAGAAAAGAGGAAGACAAGAAGCATAGAGAAAGGATAGAGAGAGAAAAGAGAGAAGAAGCAGAAGGACAGGGGGAGAGAGAGAGAGAGAAAGAGAGAGAGAGAGAGAGAGAGAGAGAGAGAGAGAGAGAGAGAGAGAGAGAGAGAGAGAGAGAGAGAGAAAGAGAGGGGAAGAAAACAATAGGTTAACCTCCTATATTGTGTTTTCAGGCAGGCAGATGGAGAATAAGCCATCCTCTCTCTCTCTCTTTTTTTCTTTTTCTTTTCTTTCTTTTTTCTTTCCTTTTTTTTTTTCGTGTGTGATAAGGGCCTAGATTGGAGGTAACCTTCTGCATCTCAAATGGGTCTCTGATGGTTCTTTATTCAAGCTGTCATAAAACATTTTGACAGGCCAAAGCTATTTTGGCATACCAACATGAAATACTGCTGGCTTGAATTTGAAGACATTGTTAGAAGAAAATGGTAGGAGGAAACAAAATGTAAATTGGAATTGCTTCACTTAAAACTCCTCCATCGTGTTTATATCTTTAAATGTAGCACTTTGGGCCATGGAAAGTTGAGAGGGTTTGAAATAAAAGACTGGACATTCTATTAAATCCAGTGCTCTAAAAGCCAGTTAAATGGTTGCTTTCAAGTTGCTGTGAAAATTCAATCTGGTGTCTTAGCACATAGGAAAATTGTACATACGTGAAAAGAATGAAAAGACACCAACTTGTAAATAGCTGATGACCCTAGTGCTGTACTTTACCCCCACTCTGGATATAGTCATCAGAGTAAATTCAGTGCCAGAATTTCCATCCAGTGATCCTGAACAAGTATTCTCTAAAAGGAGTGATTTACAAATATCCTAAGCCATCAATAATATTATATGCTCACTGCTCTGGCAGATTTTTTTCTGGCTATTGGATTGGGAGTAACTGGATGTACTGAAACAAGTTAGAAAGAAATGACTGACACAAAGGCCTGTTTCTTGGTCTCAAGTATAAGTGTAGGTGGTTTTAAACTGATTTCTATTTCCAAAGCAAGTTAAACATTTGAAAACCAGCACCATTAACATTTTGGGCTGCCAGTGAAAACTGTTATGGTATGGCAATCTCATTTTACCTGTGTTTGAAGGAAATAAACATCATTGGTTTTCCCTAGTCCAAAACTGAATGTCAAATGTGAATAAATGAATGGCATTAAAATATTAAAACTGGGTGATGACAACTCAGCATATGGTGTTTAGGCAAGTGTTGGAATTCCAATTTTACCTCGGTTTCAAAATGCAATATTACAAGGAAACAAATCGAAATGCATCATGTAAGTGATATCTTATTACTACTTTATTTTTCTTAGGTACTTGAAAAAATACTTGTTGCTGAGAAGTGAGAACCCTCATTCTATTTGTATGACACTGATAACCACAAGTCAAATATGAAAAGATCTGTTTTATATACTCTTGTCTCCATAAACAGTATCAAATATATGACAAGTTAAAAACTTTCATTCTGATCCTCTCTTTAATTTCTGGGTTAGTGTTGCCCATGCTCCTTCCAGTTATAGAGGTCAGGGAGAAACACCTTCTTTTGAGTTACCTAAGTGTTTTCTAGCTTAAAGAAAATTGAAATACAGGAGTTTAAGAATAAGAAAAGTCATTTTAGAGTTGGCTTGAGGATCAGAGTCTATTTGGGAGTGGCTGATCTGAAAATCAAACCAATAAAAACTTTTATGTACCTACTGTGTACCACACTCTGCGGTGGGGGTGGGGGGTGGGAATGGGGAGAATACAATTACAAAGAATGAAGTGACTCCTTCTGTTTCCATCATACAGTAGCCACAACTCTTTCCAGAAGTCAATTACTAGAAGCTAGTTTTAAGTGATATAATACCTCCCTTTCTCTAAAAAGGGAAAACACCAACTATGGGTGAGTAAAGAATCTGACAAGTAAAAACTCATACATTTAAAGGGATTAGATGAATACTATCAAAATTTTGGTCTCCAGTCAAGCATTTTCAGTTTTTCTGAAATCATTAATTCCTCAATTCAAATACTAAATGCTACCATTTTGTTCTCACTCATTTATTGTTAGTGACCTTAAGAAACTTACACAACATAATCTTGTTAAATACTATCATACCACTTAAAACCCAATATTTAAAATAAAAAGCAATGAGAGATGTCGTTTTTAATGCCACTTCTTTGAGATTTGCTTTTTTGCCATTATCACCAGCCAAGCAGTATAAAACAAGATTAAACCTAGTAGGGGCAAAGAATGGAATGGTATAGCTATTATTTTATTTAAATGAAAAAAGGACACTGGCCTTTTATAAAAAAATAAAATTATTTGGTGTCAAAATTGAAATGAATTCTAAGGCATGTTTAATTGGCATACTTTTTTCTCTGGATGAATCAATATTTATAGATAGTCTTATTTCCCATTATTTCTATTGTCCAGACTCTCTATATATCTAATTAAAAGTTTTAAATGATCTATCTAGCAAAAAAGAATGGCAAATTCTGGGACCAGAATTTAAAAGTACCCAAAAGTTATTGACTTCAAGAATATACAAATTTTATGTTATGAAAAGTGTCCTGACATAATATACTGATTTAGAAATACGAACTTTTATAACAGTATATATATTTCAAGAACACAAGATAGAAAACAAGGTAATTATGTGCCTTATTTTTCCTTTTCTGTTTATACTAGCTATATTTCATATGGTATCTCTCAGTAATATAAAGTTTATAGTAGCAAGAACAGAGAGCATCCTTGACCAGCTTAGCATTATTTGTGGGGTGACATGGTGACCCCATGTTTTCCAGTGAGGAGCTTGCCTGAGGAAAGTCACTTGTCCAGGTAGCTATCAATTATAAGATCTCATGGGGAATAATTAGGATGGTGTGACATACTTAGGCAAAACACCACAGAAGGAAAGAATGCCAAAGAAAAATAACTGCATAGCCTACCAGTGCATCAGATTCTAGGGAATGAAAAGTGTTTATTTGAGCATACATTTTATTTATTTTTCAATTGCAGCATGCATTTTTTCATTCCAAATTTTCCATTTATATGCTCTTACAGCATTCATTTTACAGCTTTTAATTTAAAACCAAGCATGATGCTTTAATAATTTTTTCCATGTAATTATTACCACTAATCAAGTCTCTATTATAATTTGGTTATGTATTAATAAAGAAAAGCTAAACACTTACAATGAAAGTAAAGCTCTTCATCTCCTTCTTGGTCAGCTTTGCTATAGCCACAGTGCCTAAAAAAAGGGAGAAGAAAATTTTTATGATCTAATATAATGATTTTACTTTAGACATTCATATTTCAAATTGCCAAATCTTATTGATGATGATTAAGTTTCTAATAAAATTTAAAAAAAATTTCAAGTAATGTACATATTCATTATCTACTCACAAGCATACTAAAATTTAGAAAACCAAATCCCCTCCCATATTATAAAATATATCTCATGGGAGGGAGTTAATTCCATAAAGAAAATGAATATATTATGCTATATTATCTTCAAAGCTCTGAGACTCAAAAGAATAAAATAAAAAGTCTGATTTTTGTTCTCCAAATGAGTGATGGTTCTAAATTTTTCAACTGAAAAATACAATTATTTTAAGTTTAGCACTGGGCTCACATCTCCAAATACTGTTGCTCAATTAGCTTCAAGACTAAAATAGACAGTTTTTCTAGGTACTTTGAAGTGGATATGCAAAAAAACCCCCAAAACCCAAAGATAACCAAATTCAGTTTCATTGCAAAAACCCATATAAGTAGATATATTCCCCCATATGACCAAAAAAAACCCCAACCAAGACCCAAAACAACAACAACAAAAAAACAACCCAGGACTTAAGCTACTCCTCTGCATAGAATGCATATCTTTTATCCTGCTATGAAGAGCAACATTTTTATTATGATTTAATATTTTTCACACATCAGAATCTAACAACTTACAGGTCAGCTCAGCTCAGAAAAGACCAAACCAGTTAAGCTAGAAATGTGTGCAACTGTGTGCTATACCTTCTTCCAATGATGAAGCCAAATACCATGAAGACCAGAATGATAGTTCCTGCCACAGCAACCACAGCTATGATAATTACAGGATTCTGTTCACTGGAGACAGCCGTGGCTGCAAAGAGATAAAAGTACCAGAGGATAACTCAAAAATATGTAGAAGCACTGGCTGGGTCAGATGAACCCTTATAAGTAAGAATCGTAACAGTCTATGTACTTGTCTATAACCCAGAGGTTCTTAACCTGGAGCCTGGGGTCTATGAACATTTTTTAAAACTTCATAACTCTATTATTGTAAAACATTATTCTGAGGAGGGGTCCATAGGCTTCAACAGAGGGTCAAAGGGGTCTTTGACACATTAGGTTACTATAGGATACTTGAAAGAAATATACTTTTAATAAATTTTACAGGTAGGGAAATAGCTGAGCTATGTAGATTTGCTACTAATTTTGACAGTTTAGAAGCTAAAGAATCTTAAGCATCCATTTTCTGGATATTAGAAGGGTCAAGGGACCCAGGTTTTAAATTTTGTTCTGCTATTTGGCCCGCTGTGTGAATAGGAACAAGTCATTTTGCCCCTCTTTGCTTTTGTTAGAGCACCACACCTGGAGTCAGGAAAACCAGAGTTCAAATCTGGCCTCGGAAATTTACTATCTGAATGACCTTGGGCAAGTTACTTAACCCTGTTGGCCTCAGTTTCCCCATCCGTAAAATGACCTGAGAAGGAAATGGCAAACCATTCCTATATCTTTACCAAGAAAACCCCAAATGATGTCACGGAAGAGTTGGATACAACTGAAAGGACTGAACAACAAGAAACACTGGTACAATGGGAACAGTGATAGTAGCAATCAGTCAACATGCATTTATTTATAATAGCAGCTGAAATTTCTATAGGCATTGTGAGTTAGACAGATCACGAGATCATTTTATTGTTTGATTGCCACTGTAAAATCAAAGCACTACACAAGCAATAAGGTCTTAACACGTTTAATATTTCTCATAATTAATATGAGGTTGGCTGAAATTTATCTTATATTTTTTAAATGTGCATCCTAAGTAAAATGATAGTAAATAACATTATTAGAGAAAAGTATAATCTATTTATACAATAGACTTTTTTTTTTCCTCCAAGCATTCTTTAGGATAATTTAGAAGCCCTCATTTTAATTAAAATGTAAATTTACAAATGAGGCATAACTATATAGTAGAAAGGACATTGGACAATACCTAGATACCTGAATTCCCATCCTGATTCTGTTACTAATGAATTCTGTGACCTCAGAAAAAATAACTCATTTTTTGGGGGGGGATTAGTTTCCTTATCTATAAAATTATGAATCTAGACTAGATGACTTCTGAAGTTACTTCTATCTCTGTGATCATATGATTCTTTAAAGCAAATGCAGCAGGAACACCTTTTAAGACAAACACTTTGTGTAAGATGAATTGAAATTGTTGTTTGTACCTTTTCACAATTCTAAAATACTGAGTTTGCAACAATCCTCATTTCTCGTTCTCCAAATGCCCCCAAATTGATTGAGGTTTGTTGTGTTGTGTTTTGTTTTGTTTTGTTTTTGCTCTGTTCAATTGGGTTAGTTTAGGTTAGATTCAATAAGCATTTATTCAAAGCTCACTACACTTCAGGCACTGTGTTTGGCACTGGAGATTACAAAGGCAAAAATAAGAGGAACAACACAATCATCATCTTTTTCTTTTTAATTTTAAATATTCAGTTCTCACTGAAACAATGAGGAACAATAAACCTCATAAACTCATCAGGGACACATAAAACAATAACTGAGGAATGCTCTTCCTATTGTAAGATCCAGTTTGCAAGTACTTCCTCATAATTTGCAATGCCATGAAAATGAACATGGCTTTCTCTTGAAGTAATCAACATCTGCACTCTGATGCAAGGCAAAGTGAGTGGAAAATCCTTTACCCTCTCTGGGGGAACAAGGTATGTGTCTCCAGATAGAGTAGCAATAGTAAATTATATATAATCTCACCATGCCTCACCACAGTGGGAAACAAAGTTCTTTCCATTGCCCCCCCCCTTTTTTCCTGAAAGTGTGAACCATTTGCATGTCCCACCTCTATGGACTGCAATTATCTGAGGTCATGCATGCACATACTGGCAACAGGTATACCCTGACTGAAAATGCATCAAACAGTGAAAACATCTTCCATCCCTGGTCTAGACAGTTTCTCAACTGAAGTCATTACATAAACTCTCTAATTCAGCACCTGCTGCTTTATTCTCTCCCCTCCCTCTTCCCCCAGGGAACTGAGCAGAAAAACACAACTGTTAAGCTTTAATCTCTGAATTATTACCTATTGTTAAACAGTTGACCAAAGGCAACTTTCAAGTGTTTGGTGTGTTTTCTTCCCTCTTTCTTATTCTGCCTCTTCAAATATATTTTAAGAGGAAGGAAAATGGAGCAGCTCTGTTTCTCTGGGTGGAAAGACTTATACACATATGGGTTGAAATAATTTTCCACAAATCAGATTGTGTCCCATGAGTCTAATTCTCTGCTTGTCTTAGGTTCAATACTCTCATTAGGTTCAAAAACAAGTTCCAATGAGAGATTTGGACCAAGATAGATGGCAAATTGGAATTTGTGTGTCTTTGTTTATTCTTTTCTATATATAGTTAAGGCTGAGAAGTTTGGAAAAAGGTCTCTCAGCATCACTTACTTTTTGAATCAGGCATAAATATGAATTTCAATCTTTCCATATTCAACATCGGTGGCAAAAATTACAGCTTATTTCATCACAAATTGATTTTGGAAAGGAAATTTGGGATGTAGTGATACTACCTAATTTATAAGCACAACAATCATCTTCCTATGCACATCTTAAAATTTTATACTTTTTCCCTAGAGTGGCTGGTGAAGAGACTATACTGATTAACGGGTTAGATGTAACATACAAATACACAGCCCAGGTTCCCAATTTCCAAATCATTAGGATGCAAAAATAGAAAGAAAGGAAAGGGGGAAAGGGGGAAAGAAAGGGGGAAAGAGAGAAAGGGGGAAAGGGGAAAGGGAGAAAGGAAGAAAGGAAGGAAGGAAGGAAGGAAGGAAAGAAGGAAGGAAGGAAGGAAGGAAGGAAGGAAGGAAGGAAGGAAGGAAGGAAGGAAGGAAGGAAGGAAGGAAGGAAGGAAGGAAGGAAGCTATACTGACCACAATTTATTTTTTCTTTGATCATAAAGCACTTTGGGATCTTGAAAGGTTGCAGCATGATCAATATAAATACCAATTATCTTCACACACTAATAAATACAAAAGGCATGGAATCATAGGATCACAGATATTAAAGCTAGAAAGAATTTATTAGCCATCTAGTCCATCTTATCATTTTACAGATGAAGAAACTGAGGCCCAGAGAAGTTAAGTCACTTGATCAAGGTCTAATAAGTAATAAAGGAAGGAACTGAAATAAATACTCTGGGTTTCCAGCTAGTGCTCTTTCCATGGTACCATACTGCCTTTTAGGATTGGACAACCATATTGGATATCATTTATACTCATCCTATGATATGAAGAATACCAGGCAATGTTGGAGTTTGAAGGAGTATATCATAGGAATTATTTAGTTTAATCTCCCATTTTATAGATGAACGGAGATTCAGACAGGTGAAGTGACCTGTTCAACATCAACGTCAGTGTCACACCATTAATGGTGGAGTTGGATAAAGACCTCTGCTTTCTTGATTTCCTATGCAATTTTCTCTATTGTAATTGTCCCAAAAATGCTTCTTAAATATAAGCTTGTGATACCAACTCATTGGTTTTTCATTTGTCTCACGAAAGCAGAGCAAAAATGTTCCAAAAAAATCTATTTGAGCTTTCAATCGACCAGTTAAAAAACAACATTTCCTCTTCTGCTTTAGGCAAAGTTGCCTGGTCAAAGCAAAATGTTTCTGATAGCAGGCATGTAGTAAGCAACAAAGACTTCCAGGGCATATAACACGATCAATACATATTTAACCAATCAATCCCTTCTTGAATACTACTGTACAATGAGAAAGATATTCCGAAGGATTAACCTGAAGTATTATAATATCCAGAATTATTTAAAAACCAAAGGGTTGAATTATGCTTATTAAATTTATTAAAGCAGAGAAACAGATTACTTTGAAAAGTTTTCAACACCAAGGGTAAAACCAAGAACAATTGCTAATTACCACTAAGATAACCCAAAGTTCAATTAGCTAGACCTCATTTACCTGCTTACCCTAGCCCCAAAACAAATTTAAAAATTCTTTTAATTGTAAGTAAATCAATAAATATTGCTAATATAAGCAAAAGTATTATTTTAACAAGCCATTTTTGTACTCCCTCTCCCCAAATTAGAGACCATCAGAGAACAGTTGCAACCATGGAACACATAAGAAAGAACTATGGTTTTTCCTGACCAGGTGGGATACCTATTAAAAGGGGAACAGCATGTTGAAATTTAAAGTTTTGATGAAGACATGATAGACAGGAATTGACAGGAGTGATAAAAGTTAGATTGCAGTAACCTTTTTATTTTACTAAAAGCCACACAAACCTGTTTTCAAAATGTTTTGATAACCATTTTAATATCCAAACATACTAATTCTCTTTTATCTCTTTATCACAATAAAGAAACAATGATTTTTTCCCCCTTAAAATGAGTCAGATCTGGATTTTCATATCAACCTAGATCGCCTGCCTCAGTACACGGCAATTTTCCACATTCGTTTTTGTGTAACCTATAGTTCTGTATCTATGCTTTCTATTTCAGATATGTTAAAAATATTTCTGTTGCTTGGCCATATTTTATAACAACAGTAAAAGGCTGGGAAGACCATTACTAACTGGCCATTCTTAGCAAACAATATGGTTTAGCAAAAGCAGCAAATTAATGTTGCTTATAGGTTAAGGACTAAGAATATTTCTCAAATATACTCCCTCAAATTCCACAAAGATTACAAAAATAGAATAGATAAAACAAAAAGGTGAATAATATAAATTACATTGATTTTAATTAGTTTTAATACTTCAATTTTCATGAAAATCACAATCAAGATTTGTATGTCATTTCCCAAGAGTACTAAGAGTGTCTATAAATATTTTTAACATGCAAAAACCTAGGCAGCCTCTATAGCAACATGTGCATAGGAACTATCCCTGTGATTTCACTTATATAGTGAACTCAAATATACTCATAGAGAAAGAATACAATTTCGAGTTCCTATTTTGTAAAGATAGGGAAGCCAAAAATGAAGACTAAGTAAATGTAAGTAGGTGGCTCAGACTCAACAAAAGGATCTCCTTCAATAATAAACAAACAAAAAATTAAAACCCTGAACTTTAGCCCAGCATAATTCATAAAACAGAGGGGAAAATAGGCCAAGTAAACAACAGTTCTATCATATTCCTCTGTCTCCCAATCCTCAGCACCACATAAATGTCCTTATTCTTAATTTCCAGGCAAGACAATCACCGTTCCTCAATCCCTATCAATTCTATAAATTATTATGAATGGATCAGTTTGACTGTTCATTGTCATGCAGCATACATACACTATTTAGTGGAAGGTATAGTTACTTTCCAGAATAATTTAGGTGGTGTTTTTTTCACAAGCAAAAAAATTGGCTATTTATTATTTACTGGTTTCTTTCAAAAATGACTAGGGACTTAATTCTTTCAAAAAAATCAAAAATCTATCATATTTGCTTTTGAAACAAGTTTTAGTAAAGAATGGATTAAAGTTCATCCTCAGTGCTACTACTTCCTGAGTCATTTGGGTAAAACATTTCATTTCTTTGGCCCTTACTTCCCTTATCTATAAGATAAGAGGGCTGTTGCTTTTGCTAATTTCTATAGCCCCTTAATGCTTTAAATTTGATACTACTATGTCTTCTAAAATGTCTAAATAAAATTGCTCAATGACGAAAAGATTTAAATCCACCTAAATATTTTAATGGTTGCAGTCTGGGGTTAAGATTAGGATTGTGATGCAGAAGATAATCTGGTTCTCTTCTTTTACAAGGTACGTAAACCCTCCAGTCCACAGAGTTCAAAGAATTTATGACCACATGTGCCCTATGTATATTTATATTTCAGGATTCAAGATTATAAGGGTTAGGGGGAGACGGGAGGCTTCAGTAAAGAGGCTACATAGGCCAGGCTCTGATCATATCCAGTACCTGAATAGTGCCTATTTGTTGCTTCATTTCATCTGTAATGACCACAGGGTATTACAATGACACATGTATGTTCAGGATATCAATCCCACACTGAGTAGTTAGTCTGATCAGAGCATGTAGTACTGCCTTCAGACAAAGGATTTGAAGTTTCATGATATAATCCTTGTTCAAGGGGATCAGAGGTCCCATTTAAAAACAAGAGCTTCATTATGGTTAAAGAATCCTGTTCTGGGATTCAGACTAAATCAGCCAGCCTTGGCTTTCCAGGTTCTGAGTCCCATTAGCCTATGGATATCATCTTATCTATGTAATAATTAGATGCCATCTCTCTGCTCTCCCGTCTATGCTCCACACAGAAGCCAAATTGATATTCCCAAAGTATATATTTGACATACCACTCCCTGCTACAGAAAGCTCCAGTGGGTCCATAGTATTTCTAATATAAAATAAAAAAAAATACTTAGCCTGTACTTCTGCCCTTCACAATCTAGCTCCAACCTATTTTTCCAGAGTGGATTCATGTTGCTTCCTCCAAGCAGACCATAAGCTCTTTGAGTGCAAGATTCTTTATTTTGTCTTTTTGCCTTACCACTTGGTACAGTGCCTAAAAAAACGCTTACATAACTGAACTGAATACAAGACCAAAGAAAATGAAATCTTCTTGCAAGCAATTGTTTCTATGAAACTCCTCTTTGGTCCCCTGCTTAAATTCATTTAGAAGTTTTGACCATGCCAACTGCAGACAAACTGACTCTCCAATTCTGTATTGGTCCCACTGGCATCTATTGGCATTTCTAGCAATTACCAACTCCTACTGCTCCCTAAATCCACAAGGCTAAAGAGCCAAAAGAACACAAACCTTTTCCTATACCTAGCATAACAATTATCCACACATATACATACACAGATTCACAAATACACATCTCATAAAAACAAAAGGTAGATTATACGTGAAAAGAAAGAATCCATATGATTTTTTCAGGAATGTTTCTTATTCTCTTAAGCATAGGAGCCATTCGTCTGCAGTTTATTAGATGCTACCAATTTAATATCATGTTTTCTATGCTTTGAATTCTTCAGAGTAAAGTCTCTACGTACATCAAGACAACGACCTCTTTGGTAGGGAGAAACTTCACCTTTTTTTTTTCCCAATTCCCTTGAAAATTCTTCAATAATTCTGTCTTTTGAAATTCAGAATTTATCTTTGTGAACTCCACCCTTTTCAAGAAAGGGAAGGCCTTGTAATTATTTTGTTCTTCAACTACTTTACATATCTTCTGAAAAGATACTAATACTACTGCTATTTTAAAACATCTATGATTTATTGTACAAAACTAAAAATTTATCTTTGCCATATAAAAGTATGTAATTTACTTTTCGAGTGGTGTCACAATATATTTGAAATTTTGTCTTCTTTTTGGCTTTACAAGGACAATATATTAAAATGGTACAAATGAAAATTGATCCAGATCCTCACTATACATTAATCTTTGGAGACTGCATCAGATTTATGAGAGGGTCAGAATCCAAAGCATTGATGGTAATTACCTTCAAACATTTTACCTGTAGCTTCCTCTAGTGTAGCAACATCAAGCCTGGGACTGTAATTTCCATAACCAGCAGCAGTGAAAGCACGAATCTGGAAAACATACACTGTTCCTGGTTTCAGGTTATTAATGGAAGCTGAAGTGGACTTGGTTTTTACTGTCGAGTAGGTCCGTTCCCTTTGATCCTAGAAACAATATTTACAAGGCATATTTAATTACTGTTGCAAACAGGCAATGTGACAACCAATTCTTGCCCATTTATTTCAATTTGCCGTATTGTTCTCATAAAGACTACACTGCACCCTGTGGAGTGTTAGAACACAGAGGTGTTCCTAAGTTGATATAAAATGTAAATGGCAAGCACATGCCTTTAGTCATAAAATTCCAGAGAGAAAATGAGCACTTTATCCCAATTATGAAGCCAAATCCAATCATGATATTTTTTTCCTTGGGGGAGTGGTGGTGTGGGTGTGTTTTGAAGAGGGAATATTTAGCTACAAATAGACTCAAATTTTCTGTGAGTTAAAACAAGGAAAAATGACTCTCAGTAGAGGGAGGGCCTTACATCTATAATACAGTTTTTAAATGTTTTTTTCTCCCTTAAATGTTAATAAAAGCAAATTGATAATGTTTTCCTTTGAACATGAAAAATATTTTAAGAATCTTCTATTAGTAACCATTACTGATCTCATTTTATAAGTTTCAAAGAACAATGTTCATGTATGTCTTTAGATGTATTTTGGAACAAAGCTGATCACAAATAATACAAAATAATCATTCACAAGCCCTTTCAAAATATGAGAACGAGTAAAAAGAAACTGAAAACTCTACATGTGTCTGTCCTTTTGTTGTATAGCTAGCTCCTGATTAGTGTGAAAAAAAGAATCCCCTGAAATAGTAAACTTATTCAGATTCACACTACATATTTCCTTTTGGCTAGAGCTAACTACCATATTTTACATGCCATGATTATAATTTGGAATAGTGTAAATTAAAATATATCTGATTATTTCAGTGTGTTCATTATTTCTACTAATTGAGATCTAGCTATACTTAATGGAAGAAAAATGTTACTTAAAAATTCACTTCATTTAATTAGCTAATCAATCAAGTTATTTTGAGACTGAGTCTCTCTATCTCACCTAGGCATTCATGGTCTTGGACCCATTGGTGATTTGCATGGAAATTCTGCTGCTCTATTTTCAACCTGGACTGAGGTTTACCCCCTCCTTAGGCAGTGGTCCTAACTGGTGTTGGACATATTGCAAACAACTGATTTGCTTTATACCTATCACAACTCAGAATTCCCAAACTCAAGTGATCCATCAGTCTCAGTCGTTCCACTACAAGAATCTATGGGCAAGTATCACTACGTCTAGAAATAGTTCATATTAAAAATAATACATTCTATATTTTGTGTCATACTTATTTTTAAATATGTGGCAAATGTCACTTAATGACCTTTAAGTGTATGCATCAACAATATCTAAATATTTTTTCCCTAGCTCCACAGATGAGAAATCCATGTTTTGGTAAAAATAGGTCAAAGGTTATACTTTCAGCTATATAGATGTGAATCAATCTATGTGACAGAAAAACAGCTAGTTCTTGAGTGAAAATTTCTGTCAAACAATCCATTGCTAATGTGTATTTCATAATTGGTTTATCATAATCATCTACAAAACAGAAAATGTTATTTATCAACTTAAATGTACATACTTTGAAATAAAAGAATGGGAGGACACATTATGTTGGATGATAAGGCTATAAGTTTACGGTGCCCAAATACAATGTAATACATTATTTTTCCAAGCAAAAAAATATACATCAAATTCACTTTGAATCTCGTTACTCTGAATAAGTATTACAACTAATTGAAAAATAGATTTTTCAAATAAATGGGTGAATACTAAAACCCCCTCTAGCTGATTCTATGAGGTCAGGTTGTTTTTGCAATTAGTAAGGGAGACATTCAAAAGGTAACTTTTATCAGGAAAACACAAAGTAATAGATAAATGGCAAAACGATACCACTTAAAGGTTAGTCTTAAAAAAAAACAACAAAAAACAAAAAATTCCTCATATCCTAAATTCTACAGTAGTTTATGGTAGAAATAGGCTGTCTTCAGTTACCAAAATAAATTGTTTGTTTATTTGAAAAGCTCATTTTTCAGCACCCTCACTCCAGTTTTGTTAAAAAGACAAGCTGGCTGTTTGTGTATAAAGAGCTATAGCTAACTTAAGGAAAGTAAAGGCAGCCCAAATGATCAGTTTTCTAGGTTCTTTAAAACTCTGTTACTTATAACTAATAAATACAGCATTCAATTACAGAGTTTAACTTAATTCTATAATTATTAACTTTTTTAAAAAAGATTTTTTTCTGATAATAATATCAACAAATGTAAACATTTAAAAACTGGAATGAATGGAAATTGTTCCAATTTTTATATCACATTTTAATAACTAAAAATATATAATTATTGTAATTCATGTAAACAATACTGATCAGATCACATATATTATGTTTATATCACCCTTTCACTTATACCAAATAAAATGTGTTGGTTGAACTTTACTTATGCATCTATTTTGGATTAGGAAAAAAATGCACTATACTAGCCAACAATTGGATATTTACTTTTATAAAATCAAAGTTGTTTTAATATTAATGTCGTGACTTTATAAACACTTTTTAAACTATTTCCCTGCTATTTGACATGAACTATATATTATTTGTGAATGGACTGACTTACTAGTGGGCTTCATTGAAAGAGCATTCCCAGAGTGATCATTCATATATCGCCAAAGTTCAGCCATGATTAGTATAGGAAAACAACAGGTTTTCAGTTCTAGTAATAATATAAAACTTTTTGTTGAAAATCTTTAAGTCAATAGAAGGCCTCAGAAGGGCCAAAAAAACACTTCGTATTCTCCATCACTATTTTGGTTTGTTTTTAGTTAAAGAGGTAGTTAGGTTCTTTATTTTATATGAGTTCAGAATTATAGCATAGCCCAGTATTTCAGAGTTACTATGTACTATGTAACAAACAACAAAAATTGAAAGAGCTCAGAAGGCTGGGCTAAAATTTCCATGTTACAAAAAACATGCTGAATTTAATTCTTTTAATAATATTAAAACTGACTAGAAAAGTATGCTATCAAGTGGATTATTTTCATTTGTGTAATATACAAATATAACACACAGAAATTATAATTATAATAATTAGCCAGAGAATCTTGGAGATGGTTATTAAAAATGGGTAAAATTATGAATTTTGAAGCGGCTCCAAATAGATGGCTGACAGATAATAGTTGTTATAATTACCAACTTTTGTCTCTGATAGAGTCAGCTGACGTGATGTGCACAGCACACCGCTGTACATTTTAGCTGCTCTTAGCACTTACTTTCTCGTAATACTTGATTTCATATTCAGTGATGACTCCATTGGGATGCTCCGGCTCCTGCCAGGAAAGCTCGACGCTCCGCTGCAGCACTCTCTCCTTCATTACTCCACTAACTTGCGAGGGAGCTGTTTGGACAAGATGTGTCAATAAACAATGAGAAAATTCACTGGATGCTTCAAATCAAATGTCACAACTGATCAGTCCCATGCTGTGCCAGTTTCATTAAGGTAAAAGAAAGCACCTTTTCATAGCTCACAATTCAAAAGCTAATGAATATTCAAACAGGACCTTATTACTGTTCATAAACCTTAATAGAAATTTAAATTAAAGTGCAAACAGCAGAAGATAGCATTGTTCAAGTTAGTGAAAAACTGGAAGTGATGGGGATGAGAATGACAATTAAGCAAATGAATGCTAATTAAGGCCAGAAAATGATTTCAGATAAATCTCTTGTGATAAATTAAAAGTACAAATATTTATCGCACATGCTCCTGCAATGAACTTTAAAAAGCAAAATCTAAGGTCATGCAGCAGAATTCTTGCAAGCAGTTACTTTAATTTCCAATCTAGAGAATGACCCACCACTTATTAATGTTTCTTTTGCATTACTGTTTAGAGAATCCCAAAGAACTTTAATTGTTATCACAGATAAATTACTACCTCATCCAAGTCATTGTCAAACATGACCCCTTTTGTGAGGAGGGGTGAGCATAGACTACTGCACTGATGCAATTTTAGACCTGCCTCACTGAAGCTTCGTGCTTTGGTGATGGCAGGACAAAACCACAATCTTCCTCTTTCCTCCTCTTTAGATAACAAAATGCTTAGAGTATTTTCATTCTAATTAGTGGAATATACTTCTTTCAGTAGCTAAGACTCGTAATACGGCAAACTAATTTGCTCTGTCTGATTTGCTCAGTGATGATTAACTAGTTGTCTTCTCTGTCTAAAGGAGAGAATGAAGTGCACTGGCTGAATTTCTGTGGGGTCATTATGTTTCATGTATCACATTCTATTTCATTCTGCAGAATATTTTCAGGCTGTTAATTTAATTTTCAGATGTCCAAAATCATTAACGTTCCTGCTGACAGAGAAACAGTTAGACATGGCCAAAGCTAACTAAGATTGCTCCCCATGTTTATCCCTTTGGCTTTATTTTGTTTTTTTAGTGACAGCCTATTTTGGTACCTAGAAAGCATAATTTTCTGCTTCCTTCTGGTCTCGGCTATCTTGAGGGAATAACAGGCAAGATATATGACTCCCATTTCCCCTCAGACTACATTTAACAATAGCATAACTAGGGCAGATTAAGTGGGGCAACTTTCCCTGAAGGGGATGCTGAGATTCAGCTTCTCAGTAAACTATGGACTGACTGGAGGAGTTTCAAGAGAGTTGCTAATAAAGCAAAATGTTTAATACTGGACTTTATTTTTCTGTTAGATTTTAAATTTGGATCTATTCCTAAAGAGAAAAACTTGGCTCGAAGACATAATAAAATATCTGCACTCAAGGCATGCTGTCCTTTGCAGGAGATATAGGCATCAACACTGTGTCTATTGGGACACATATTCTCTTTCTTCCTTAGGAAACTGAAAAAGCAGCCATGTGACACCATGCAAGCTAGAAGGGATAGGGCACACAGGAGGGGAAAGAAGATGGGGAGTTAAGAATACCAGGGTTCAAATCCTAATCCTTCCAACTATACTGTGTGACATTAGGCCACATCATAATCTGAGACTCAGCTTCCCCTTTTTCAAATGGCAATAAACCACTGCTACCCTCTTATAGAACTGCTCTGAATATCACATGAGGAAAAAGTGTCTTAGACACTATTAAAAAAAGGATATATATATATATATATATATATATGTATGTATAAAGAAGCCTACAAAAGCATAAAGTACATGTAAAACTACAAAGCAGGAATGAAACAAATATTTGTTAAGCACCTACTATATGCCAGGCACTATGTTAAGCACTTTATAAATATCTCATTTGATCTTCACAACAACCCTAGGGAGCAGGTATTATTATTTCCATTTTACAGTTGAGGAAGTTGAGGCAGATAGAAGTTAGTTGACTCGTCCATTATCACGCAGCTAGTAAGTATCTGAGGCCAGCTCTGAAGTCAGATCTTCCTGACTCCAGGCCAAGCACTCTACACATTGGGCTACCAACCTGTTCCAAATCATATATGTATGTACACTTACATTTTTTTCTTTTGGTGGTAGAGGGTAGAGATAGTAGCTCTACTATCTCTAGTGATAGAGATGAGAAATCCATGTTTTGGATTTATTTACTTTTTGGTATAGGAAATTCCCAGTGAAGAAACTTGGGGCCCTGAAAGTATGTGACTTGGCTTGGGTCAAATAGTTAGTATATAATACAACCAACAACTGAACCTAGGTCTTTCTACACCAAGGCCAGTTCTCCACTGATTACATTATTAAACTGCCTATCTTTGGACAACTTATGATATCTACTTTGTTTTCAAAACTTTTTGGGGGCCTAGAAGAGAAAATTGTGAAAAGAAATTTAGTGTTATTTAATAAATTGACATTAAATAATAAATTAAGGAGGGAGTAGTACCATAGCCACTATAGGGCATGGTCTCAAGCATATTCACATATAAACACAAACAGGATACACAGTACGATACTAGACTGTACAGTGTTAGACTTGTGGTCAAGGATACCTGGGTTCAAATCCTACCTGTCACATTTAGTACCTATATGACCCCAGGCAAGTCACGACTCGAACAACTCCTTAAAACTTACCTTTTAAGTATTAAATGGGATTGAAACCATAGATCATTCGTGGATTTACATATACATTATTCTACAGTTTCTATACAGATTAGAAAATGAGATAATAACTTTAAAATGCTTAACATGTGCCTGGCACATAGTAAAAGCCATATAAATGCTAGCTATTAGCTATTATTAACAACTTGGGCTGCTTAGACAGTTGCTCTGTTCTAGATAGGATAGAAGCTATTTATTAATTTGGAAATGATAATGCTGTGATTCTTAGGGAGGTACTATGTTCAGGCCTCTGTTTTCCCAGAAGTGGTCACATAAAGTTTAACAAACATTATATGTATATCTAAAATTAAAGAATTGTTTCTAATATTCCAATTTGTGAAGAAGAGAGTAAGAGAAAAACCAAGTAAAATATGCAGCTTTACACATCTGCCTGGGGAAAACGAACTATTTTGACTCAATATTTAATAAGGTGCATCAGGTATAAGTATATATGTATATATAAAAGATTATAAGACTGATTATCATAAGTCACATTAAAATACCAGCCCATTATTTTATTCTCATTCTACATTCTCAAAGAGACATTATAACCAGAATTAGGACAAATCAGGATCCAAGGAAAGAGAAGGAAAATTTGAAGCAAGTCACTAAGGTATTTTGAGCATGTTATTACTTGAAGAGACACATTATCACATTCTTAGGCTAACATTACCTCATCATGTAACAATAGACAATATCATATTTCTGTCGTACACCAAGGACACATCTCCAGTCAACTGTATACCTCATTTCCTGTCTTAACAGATGCCTACTTTTTTTAATTGCCTGCTGATACAACATCTAGTCCTACAGTAGGACAGGGTAGACAGGCAAAAGTAACAGCACATGTTACATAAGGCAGCATAGCTTGAACTGGAGAAATTGAAACTTTACCTTTTAAAAAGTCCTTGGTATACAGTATTTAGCACAAGAAAAATGGATTTTTCACTTAATTTTAACACTTAAAAATAGAACTCTTGACTAACAAAAACTCTAAGTCATCTGGGTTTCAAACTGGCCATTATTTTCTACAGCAAGTTGTCCAGAAAGTTCTAATTCAGTGGTAGAGGATCCAAATGAACCTGCAATCTTTCAGCTATGATACAGAAATATCATGCATGTAGAATATGTCACGTAGGACATGTTCAACTGACCTTGGAAGCAACATGCTCATAAGGCATGTGAATATTTATATTTAGAGCCTTAAAAGGTTAATTTTTGAAGAAGAAACTTACATACTTTTATAATCCTATGCACTCAACTTATATACAAAGGTCAAAAACCAAAGTGGAGTTTACTCATTTAAACCTAGATTTTTTTCCTTAGAGAAAAAAAAGAAAAATGCCAGACATTCTATTATATTAATATGAAAAAATGCATTTTAACTGGTATTGCTCTGAGGATAGAAAAGGAAATGATCATCAACGATGAACATAAAACCTAGTGAAAAACTGATCCCGTGGGAAAACAGAAAACTATCCCTTTATTATGAGTAGTGACATATATAGTTAGCTAGCCTAAAACACAGATAAATCATTTAGTGCTCACTATGTGCTATGTACTATACAAACCCTGAGCATGCAAACACAAGCAAGTAAGAGGTCCCTACTTTAAAGAGCCTACATTCTAATGGCAAAAGATAACAAATAACAAGAAGCTAGGAGTGGAGGATGCACCTCAAAGCATACACAAAACATCCCAGTGGCTAAGTCATATGCTTGATTTTAGGGATGGAAGTAGGGTTGCAAGGAGGCCAGAGTAGAGGAAGAGTAGTGTAGTTCAAGTTTAGATTAACGGGAAGTTCACTCATCATAACTTGGTGTTTCAGTCATAGTGAAGGCAGCTGAGGGAGGGGATAGGGGTCGTTTATTATTTTCTTACATTATTATCTTCAGTCAGTCAATAAGCATTTACAAATTCAACATCTTGCCATTTAGGATATTCTCATTATTAGCACAGTAGAGTGAAAGACCACTCTACTAGGAGTCAGAAGTCTTGAGGTCAAGTATCTCCCTGCTCTGTGGTTTACTGGCTACATGACTTTGTGCAAGTCATTTAAACTTATTTGGTTCCTCAATTTTTTTAGTAAGAGTATTGGATCAAAGGGATCTATAAGGACCCTTCCAGTTCTGGCATTATATTATTTTAATAAAATTAGTAACTAGACATCTTCTAAGTTTTTCAACTGTTCAGACAAAATTGTATAAATCATTTAGATTTCTGCTATTAATTTTTTTTTCTGTCAGGAAAAAATAGAGATGGGCATAACAACCAAGTGTCTTATTCTATAATTGGTAAGCCAGGTAGCCACATTTTGAAAT